AGAAAAATTTCAAAAGTGGAAGAATCATAAAATATATCAAAATGTAAAAGACAGTGGGTGTCAAGGTTTGATTTCATATGCTTATTAACATTAAAGATTTAGGAAATCAATCTTCCAAACTGGCTATCACTATAGCCAGTCATAGACTGAGGGCCACATTGACCTGATAGTGTGCTTTGATCAATACATAAACTCTCTATAACTCAAATACATCAATTCTAAAGTCAAGTTACTTTGAGATCTTGACTTTTTCATAAAAATAATTATAGAATATGGTGGTTACATTCTATAGCTTTTCATTTTTTACTTTTGAAAATACTGCTAAAAATTTTATAGTTATTTTTAAATGATAAATTACTGGGATTGGTGAGAATAAAGTAACATTTTAAAATATAATTTAGATTTCTCAAAGTAAATCTTTGAGAAGAAATAAGGGAAAAATTTAGTATTAATAGAAATATTTGTGTTAGTATTAACCCAATGTGTAATGTTATGTCTAATCTGTCAGCATTACAATGTTATATTCTCCCTAACATCAACTATGAGATTTTAACTCAGCAAAGGATGAGAACTATGTTACTGGTACATTTTGTTCCTAAGTTACATATTTAAAGAACATTAATCAGAAATATAAGATTGTAATGATATTATCCAGGAATTTAATTGTTTAGCCTGTCCAAAAAATGAATAATCGAGGGTCTTGTAATAGAGTATATCTATAGCTGTGAGGCAACCACAGTTAAGCCAAAAGTGTGTTCTGGATTGTAACCCTTTCCATTTTTCATAATTACTATGAGTCTTAGCAGGATAGCATCCAGCTGGACTCACAGGGAAAAACTACATATGGAGCTATTTCTTTCATTTAATTTTTTGGCAAATATTAACTCCTTGTTCCAAAAGATACAGTGTATAAGTCAAAAATTAGAAACCTAGTGCTTGAGTGGAATGCTGGAAACAGTACAATAAATACTGCTGTTATACAGAATAGAGGCCTAACTACAGTAAGCCGCTTTGAAATAGGCTTTAAATATGTAATAAGTACTTGTTAACTACAGCCCACATAGCAATTTTGTTTTCTTCATCTTTTGTATGTCTACTGAATACCTATAAAGGATAGATTCCTTATATTTACTTTTCACATTTCTTTTTAGTTAAACAAATGCAGCTTTATGTAGGACAACTGGTTATATAATTTTCCCTTAAAAAGGATAGCCTTCATCATTTTGAGGAAATATTGACTACTTTTTCCCTAAAATTAACTACTTCTCAGTATTAGTAAGAGTTTGTTAACTTGTACCCTTGAATTCCTTTATTAAACTCTCTTCAATTACCATTTAAAGATGCATTTTCTGTTTATGTGCTGCAACTTCCACTGATATCAAAGAGATCGTAAGAGATTCCTTGAATTACATGTTCAAATTTTATGAGCTCCACTTACTGAGTTTGTCTTAGTCTGGTTTTGCTGCTGTAACAGAACACTACAGAAAAGGGTATTTATAAAGAAAGTTTATTTGCCTTAAGGTTCTGGAGCTGGGAAAGGAAAAAGCATGGTAGTAGCATCTGACAGGTTTCTTCCCATGGCTGAAAGACATCACATGACTAGACAGCAGACTCAAGACAGGAGAAGAGGAGGGCCAAACTCCTACAATAGCTGACCCATTCCAATGGTAATGGAATTGGAGTTGGCTCATTACAAGGTCAAGGACCTCATGAACTAATCTCAAAAGCCCCACCTCTAATACTGTTACAATGACATTTAGGTTTCTAACACATGAACTTTGGGGGAATACATTCAACCCACAGCACTGCCAAATTACATCCCATTATATGTTTCTTGTTGTAATATATATAAACACATATGCATACATACATACATATATATAACATAAAAATAGACAACCAAAGTAAATAGCTTTTGTCTTCATTCAGAATAAGGAAATTTCTTATACCAAAATATAAGATGCTTTGGCTCAGAACATCTTCTTATCTAATCTCAGTGTGGGTTAAACTCTTCATATATGGATGGAAAAATAAATACAACATTCATTCATTTATTAATACTATTTAGCAGTTAATATATAGCAATTTTTTAAAATTTAAGCTTAAGCAGGTGATCAATTAACTCTTCTTGAAGAGATTTAGATCTAAAAAGGGAATGAAGCATACTGCCAATTATGCAGTCAGGAGCTAAACCCTCAGAAAGGCAATATGTGAAGATTTTTAACCTGTTTTCACTTTTTTTGTTTTGCTTGATTTTCACTAATATTGCTTATGACATTAGGGAGGTAGTCACTATCTCTTACAAGACTAGCGTCATGTAGCCAGGATAGAGTTTGATGTATGGCACTGGATTCTCCCTTGTTATTACAAATTGGTTGTTTTTACCTTTTTTCTTATAAATCAAATACTTTGGTAGTTGTATTTAATGTTATTGGGGAAGTAAGCACATTTGCGAAATATGCAAGTCTGAAGCGGGGGTATAGAGGTGCTAGTGACTATCCTGGTCTTCACTGCCATTGTCAAACAGGAATCACATCAGATTGTCACTTTAGCTAAACAGACTAATTTTCTATATACATGTTCTGTACATTCTGTTATGTGCCATCTTTATTCTGAAATAATAGTTCACCCCTTTCTGATTTCCATAAATGTATGGTATATATATTTCATAACAGAAGTCCTTGATGGGTAATCACTACTTAATACTTAATACTTGTTCAATGCTTAAATGTCCCATGTCTGGAAAACATGCAATTGTATCAAGTAATCACAATCTGAATGTCATACAGAGTTTATGAAATTAGTACCACTGCTTTACATACCCTACCCTACAAAGCTGGCTTTCTTAAATTTAAGCAGTGTTAGCATGCTAACATGGGGGGAGCTAAGATTTAAACATCAGTACTTCCATTTACTAGCTTTTCCATCACTCTTTTACTTGAGTTATAGATCTCAGTTTCCTCATCTGCAAAGTAATGTTTACTGCTGCATAATAGAGTTGTTGAGAGTATGTAGAATAAAATAAAATAAAGTAAATAAAGTAGCAAAATTGCTTGTTCCACCTATTGAAACGACTGGCCTAGTTCTGGAGAACCCCTGTGCTTAAGAAATATTAGCTATGGTTACTGCTGAATAGCTAAAAGGATTGCTAATTCTTAAATGATAATTTGTAAATTCCCACAATAACTGTTTTTACAAAAGTTTTTGAATCTTTCTGTGGACTGAGATTTTTGGAAGTGATGAATGATTTCTTTGAGCCTGTATTTAATGATATGATTACTTCCTTCCCATCTAAAGAGATCCAAATTAAATATTTCTGAATCTTTCAACATTTCATTTAAATTTTTATCTTACCTAAAAATTTCCAAATCTATGTATCATGGTCACTCATCATCAAGATGTAACTAGCTAAAAGCGTTTTGTTATATTTTTTTAAGAATGAATTTATACAGGTAAAGGCCATGGATGGGAATAGTTCATGTAAATAGCTCTTACATGATTTACTAAGTAAACTATTCTTTTACTTCTTCTTTTCACTCCTTTCTAATTCCAGTTATTTTAGTCATGGTCTCCATGTCTTTGAGAGCACACAGATAATTAAGTTGTGTATACATCTGGACATTTACACCAAAATTGAAAACATGTGTAAATATGATATTTTTACATCCTTTTTACGCATAGCTTATATACTGAGATGGATTTCTAGCTAGATAATATTACTAATAATAGCCAATAATTTAACATATCACCTATTTTTAGAATTCTCATTTTAATTCTTTTATTTCTACTGTTTCTGAGTCTTAGTGAATTCTCTGATCACATTTGGCTATCTGAATAAAAATAGCAAATCAATGAATTTAAAATGTCTTCTTTTAGTTGAAAATACAAGTTTACCCAACATTTTAAATATAAAACTATAAAGTTTCTTAGAAAGAGTGAATTTTATTTGAAATTCTAACATTTACTACTGAAGGGAATATGCCAAACTTTAGTTCTCAGTCATTAAAATCTAATTAATGAAAAAGTACCTAATACTGGAATTACAGTACATTTTGTTTGTTAATGAACTTTTTCTCAGAACTTCTAAAAGTATATCTAAAAATTAATACAGAGAATATATAAAATGTTTGTACATGTTAGGAAGTTTCCATTTTCTTAATTTATTGATTGTTTTAACAGTTTTGAGAAACTAAATACACAAAGAAAACTGTACCACGATTTAAAATTACCTGACCCCCAAACACCAGATTTCTTATATTTCATTTGCTTGATAGGACCCTATAGTCTCTTGAAAGAAAAATTTGCATTTATGATGCTCAATCTACTGTTTATATTTAACCAGCATAAGTTATGATTATAAAACAATTTAAATCTTTAATCTAAACAGTCATATGACTATTCAGACCCCATAATATATTGTTACCCACCATCCTTATTTCCCTCTATCCCATCCCAGTTCATCTTGTAATAAAAATATTCATGAAATATAAATGACTACAATGGTTTTATTAGTTTTCTAGTCACTTTATTTCCAAGTAGTAGACATATTTCATCCTGGATATATATAATTTGGTCATTTTAAATGTGGGGAAAAAGGAGGACAATGACCTCCTTGAGGTAGATTTAGGTATTAAGTTAAGAACAGGAAGATTAAAACACACACACACACACACACATATCTACATACCTACACCAACTATTATTTAAAAAATGTTGGCTGGTATTTGTTTCTGGTGAAGCAGCCTTTAATGGTAAGCAGAATCACATTCACTTTTTTTCCCCGTGGTTAAACCAAGCTAAATCTGAGCTAAGCGAGCTCCTGTGCCCAATATCACATTCTTTGAACTGGTAATAAAGAACCTTGCTGGCCTGACAGGTTGTCACAGCAATTATTCACAGGAAGTTCTGTAGCAGTTGTATCTGTCAGCCCATGTAGTATTGAATATTTTAACTGGCAGTCTTCCAAGACTGAACATTAATCTTACCATCTCCTATTACAGTCCCTAATCAAGATATTCCAGGGGTGATTGCACTAACATTGTTTGAAGACTACATCTACTGGACTGATGGGAAAACCAAGTCACTCAGCCGTGCCCATAAAACATCGGGAACAGACAGACTCTCACTGATTAACTCATGGCATGCCATCACAGATATCCAGGTGTATCATTCTTATAGACAACCTGATGGTAATTATTCTTTCCATGATTTCCATAAATGCATTAACATCTTTCAGTAACATTCCATTTTTGAGTCTTTCAAGGTTAAGTGTAACGTTATTTTTGAAAGAATTGCCAGATTTCATTATTTAGCATCATTTTATGGAAGAATTCACTTGATATCAAGTATTACTATTAAGGGATATGATTAGAAGCTTAATAATAGTGCAAACAATTATTGATTTGTTCAAATCATATTAAGCAAAAAGGACAATAATAAGTGTAATCAGGGAAATGAAGATTGCATTCTTGAAATAATTTGTTTACAAAATAGTTATAGGATTCTTAAGTTTCTGGAATCCTGGGTAGAATGAATTATTTTTAAGTAGCTAGGGTTCTAATAATGACAAATATATCAAATTTGCTTAAATATATGTCTAATAGGAATTCTATCAGGCCTTGCAAAATAAAGGATTGGTCATCTTACTAAAAAAATCCTATCAGGCCTATCAAGCAAAGTCATTGCCCTAGTAGTTGTAGATCATTGTTTCATTGTTTTATTTAACATTTATATTTTTGAACATATGTATGTCTTCATCCAAAATGTTTATATTCTCTATTTTTCTGATGGACAGTTTTCCTACTAAAATACTTCTTTTTTTAATAGAAAGTGAACTCTTAAAATTATTTAATGGTAAAATCAATGTCACTGGATAATGAATATCATTTATGGTGAATAAAAACTATATTTAGCTTGATGAGCTTTTGATCGCAAAGTTTTACTCAAATACAGTTTGGAAGCTTAAATGTCCTATGTCTAATCCCATGTTAAATTATTCATCATGATTGTCTTATTTCGTTATTGTTGTTTCTTTCTCTTCTGTAGTCTCCAACCATTTCTGCATGATAAATAATGGTGGTTGCAGTCATTTATGCCTTTTAGCCCCTGGAAAGACCCATACCTGTGCATGTCCCACCAACTTCTATCTTGCAGCTGATAATAGGACTTGCTTATCCAACTGCACAGCCAGTCAGGTGAGTGGAGGTCTAGAAATCATCTCCTGGAATGTATGGACAAGTTGTTATAAAAGTTTTGCTTGAGTTTGTTTATATTTGTTTAGCATGACATAGAATGAGCAACAGAAGAGATTTTATATATCTCATGAGGGTACGATGATTAAGGCATTGGTAGACAAAGGTAGGTGGAGTTAAAACACAGCAAGAAATTTTCCTAGCTAATCTGCTATGTATCACTGACTCTTCCATATCTCAGAGCCAGTGATTTGGACAAGATAAACTGGATGGAGAGTAATTCTCTAGATACTATTTTATTAAAACATTATATGATCAAGATAGTATCCTTCTGAAACCTCTTTTTCTTCCAAATTTAATTATTTTCAGTGAAGATATCCCAGAAATTAAATTTCATACTAAAATGATAAATTGTGTGGACTTGATTTTGTACTTTTCAAATTTTGGACAAGTCATATGGCTCTATAAAACTAGACTATGTGATATTTGACTCACTGTCTTTTTTTAAGATAAAATTGTCAAAGAAACCATGTTTTTTTAAAAAATGACTAAATTTATTTTTATAATTCTGTGTTTTGAATTTGCTGGTATTTCAGTTACTTGCAGTGACTTCATGGCAAGAAATTAAATTTCTCTTAGAGTGTGTTTATCTTCAAAATGGAGAAGATAGGAGTAAGGTGCTGGCCCCATATACCGGAGGTGGTGGGTTCAAACCCAGCCCCAGCCAAAAACTGAAAAAAAAAAAAAAAAAAAACCTCAAAATGGAGAAGTTAATATTAGCGCAGCCTGCCTCTCAGATTAGACCTGTGAATTCTGTTAAGGAATTATATAAATGAAAGAGATTGGACCTTTTCCACGGTGTGCATATGTGAAGTGGCTAGGAGTCACTCTAAAGCCAGGCTCACTAAGATTCTATAGCTGACTGTCTTTTTGAACTGTCTGCATTACCCTAGGGCTGTTACTAAACTTTTTGGTGCCTCATTTTTCTTCTCTTTTAAATGAAATGATAATATTTCCAGGCCATTTCACGAAGAGTAAGTGGGAAATGTTTCTGGTGTATGGTAGATGTTATTATTAGCCCTGCTTGTAGTGCAACTGGAATATGCTTTAAAAGAATATATGTACAGTTAGTATGAGGTGCCATCAGGAGGTTCTGATGTCTAGTTGAAAGCAAAGCCATAGATTCTGATTTCTGTACAAATTGTGTTGACATAATTCCCTTAGGATTTGTATAAAAAAAATACTGTTTTTTAAAATCTGGATATTTAAATCATTATGAGAGATAAAATCAGTAATCATCTATTCCTTTTGGCAAAATTTAAGGGAGAAATTTTTTTTTAAGTATTTTAATATATAACTGCTATGTACTATTTAGTCAATTCCCAGCTTAACCTCCAGATTATTCTAAAATAATCTTTGGTCTCCCGCTTTGGAGTGGTCTATGAGTGAGTTTATGGCTGAGGCCATTGCTGACTTTTTAGAGATGATGCCTGCCTAAGACACTGTAGTGTGATGTGTCTCAGCAGTCAGCTGACACCTGAGTTAGACCACAGAATGCTTTGAAACACAGATCAACATGTTAAATATCAAGACATAGGTTATAAAACATTAGCCTGGCTACAGACATAAGAGGAACTAAATTTTTCAAAATTGTATTGTGCAAGAAATTCTCTAGTTATGTTTATTTAGTGCCAAAAATATCTGAGCATTCAATTAAATGAAAACACAAGTTAGTATGAAAGTATTATTTATTTAATAAAATTATTTCCCAATTTGATAAGACTAAAATATTTAACATTTAAGAAAATTACTTCCCAAATGGTGACAAGACTAAAATACTTATGATTTTTCCAATACCCCAATAATTTTTATCATTAATTTCAAAAAATTTCAGATAATTTCAATGGTAACAAGACAGGGCAAACCAAAATATAGAACAGATATTTTGGTGTTTAACTATACTTACAGAAAACAAACAAAAAAAGGAGTTATCATTTCATTTATTTCCTTTTCAAGAAAATGAGGAGTAGCTAACACAGTCCATTAATGATAATCCTTGTAAGTCTTTGGTGCATACAGACAGATCTTGGGTGGGAAAAAATATATGTACACTGCACACTTCCTGGCAATAAATCAGTTTCTCGAAACACAGTTTTCAATGAGGTAGGTATTTAAATGAAACAAATCATTTGGGCAGTTGAGAATCATACTGTTAATTATATTGATGAAAATTTTGTATTTTTAATTTATTATTACCTAGGAATTTTGATTCATCATTTAATGATAGCAACCAATGACATATCTTGAAAATAGAACTGGTTATTAGAAAAATAAAAAAAGCAAATCACACCAATAAGAATTCTATTAGAATCCAGAATATAATCTGAAAATGTGATAAAAGTCAAGATTAAAACCAATTCTTATTATTTATTTTAAATATTTAATTTAAATTATTTTAATTTGGTAAAAATGGCTTCATTTACCTTTAAAGTGGAAACAGTTCTTGTTTCACTACATTGGGATTTGTGTTTTTATCCTTCTATTCATCTGAGAAGATGTATATTTAGTAGTTTATGGCTTCTTGTGGGTGATATTTACAATCTGCAATTTATTTAATGATGACATTAGTCTTAGAGAACATATATACCATGAATTTTTTTGTTTAGTATAAATAACGTTTTTAAGTTTCTGAATTTAAATATGAAAAAAATGAAGTTAAGACATGAAATAGAAGACATCTTTTTCCATGAATAAAATGTTGATTAGCATGAAAAATAATGTGACAATTATATTTTACCTTGGCCTTATCTTAACTGGAAACCCTCTGATGTTCTTATGAAAAATGAAACAGAAAGCAAAATCATCATGTTTTATGTAATTCCAACAGTTGATGTTCATATAAATCAGGCATATTTAGTGAATTATAGAAATATATATTTTAAGAAATTATTCCAATCATAATTTGGAAGACTTTTAGGATGCTCAGGAGGCCTGAAGTCCTCTTAACTAATGTGCTTTGATATACTGTAATGACTGGAAATATTTAATGTTCAGGGCAATTGCTTTTGCTTGTATCCCTAGACAGTCACTATCTATAAAGGTAATTTCTTTTCCTCTGGTAATTTATGAAAAACCACAACAGACATGACTATAGGCTATTTGGAAAAATCAGTTGAGCAGTCAGATATCCCCTTGGATTTATAGTGCTCTGTTACCTCCCATGTTGGCACTGTAAGAAAAATTAACTCTCATATTTTAAAAAATATAATGTAAATCTAACCTGAATCAATTTCATGATGCCTAGACAGGTTTAGGAAAAACTAACATTAAATTATCTCTTATTTGAAGAAAGTAACTGTATTTTAATTGAACAAATTCTTAGATTGCTATTCCATTGACATTAGAGATAACTGAATCCAGGCTATATTTTTCTGTCTTATGTAAAATGTGCTAAGATAAATGCTATCTTGCTGCCAGTCACTCATGTGAGAATTACAACATAAACACTTCCAAAGAAAATTAATAACCTTTAGAAAATTATTAGAGAAATGATTTCAATTCCTGGTGAATATTGTAATATATGCTTTTCACGGAATTTCTACTAAAATGAAGAATAAAGTCATTTGATAGTAAAAGAAGAAGTTGGCTAAATGTTATCTATTGCTTGGTTTTAATAACTCAAAGTGGATCTTTTGACGGCAGCTCCTTCAGATGCACATGTTCTCTGTATGGGAAATATGATTTTCTTTAGTTTCCTCTATCTAAATTTTGCTTAAAAAAGGAATTAGCTTGTGGCTACAGATCTGTAAGTATTAAGTTAACTAAGCTTTTCTGGTCACTGTGTTCAGTTGGACAATAATGAAGTTAGTAGGAAAGATGGTTCTGTGTTCTGCCTCAGGAGGTGAATTTGGGTCAGGTATCTTCCTTATAAATATGTGATAATACTTCCAGAATTTTTTTCTCTAGTATCTAGCCACATGTGTGCTAAATAGCCTATAAGTAAATATTGCCATATAATAATTTCAACTATTTTCTTTATTGTTAATCTTCTACTTGATAGTTAATTTTATTTTAAAAGAGAGCAGTTAAACTTTCTATTTTTATAAATAATAGAATTATTATTTTTCTTATTACTATTTCTTTAGTTATTTTAAATGGAAGGGATAAACAAAACATAGGAATAACTATTTCATTTAATAGTTTTTAAAAATAAACTTAGAGAAAGTATTATTAAAACAGTTCTCTTCTGTACTTTATTTTTAAAAAGTCAACAAGAAAGACTATTTAGCTTTATTTATAACATTAAAAAAATTATCACAATTTCTCTACTTCTAAAAGATTATGTATATTTATTAATATTTCTCTTTTTTTTTTTTTTTTGGAGACAGAATCTCACTTATGTCACCCTCAGTAGACTGTAGTGGCGTCACAAGTTCATGGCAACCTCCAACTCTTGGACTTAAGCAATTGTCTTGCCTCAGCCTCCCAAGTAGCTGGGACTAAAGGCACCCACCACAACACCTGGCTATTTTTGTTGTTTTTGTTGTTGTTGTTGTTGTAGTTATTTAGCTGGCCTGGGCCAAGTTCGAACCCACCACCCTCAGTGTATGTGGATGGCACCGTAACCACTGTGCTGTGGGCGCTGAGCCATTTATTAATATTTCTAAAAACTGGAAAGGACTCTTTGGCCTCAACTACCTTAAAAAATATTCTTAAAATTTTTATGGGGCAGATACTCATTATTGCTAAGGGCAGTACTTTCAATGTTCAGTGTATTTCATGAAATCACAACATGATAGTTCTAGAAAAAATTCTCCAGATTATGTTCAGCTTCTTATTTGGTGACTAAAAAACAGTCTGAGAGAATTTGATTGAATTGCCCAAGATTTTTCAGAAAATGTAATTAAATTAAATGAACTGAAATTAACAAAATTCATTCAATTTGATGTTTTTTCCTAATATTCCTGATAATTCTTAGCCCTATTTAGTGTTTGCCAAACCTTTTCTCTAAATAGCCAGGCAGTAAATATTTTAGGCTTTTAGAGCCAAAGAGTCTCTTTAACAACTGCTCCAACTAGGCTACTCAACTCAGCTGCTATAGTGCACAACTATCCTCTAGACGACATGTAAATGAGCAAGCTCCTCTGTATGCACAAGAAATCTCTGCAAGTTTTCCAGAACAATATGCTCTCCTGGCAGGTCAAATGCTTGTTGGGCATTTATTTCCTACTGTGGAATTTTGTATGTGATGGGCTTTTTAATGTTTTGTTTTCTTTTTTTTTTTTAAGTTTCGTTGCAAAACTGATAAATGTATTCCATTCTGGTGGAAATGTGATACCGTGGATGATTGTGGTGATGGATCTGACGAACCTGATGACTGTCGTGAGTATATTAGTAAATACTGCAATTTAGAATTTAAAGTTCTTTACATCCTAGACATGGAAAATTGAAACTTGGTCTAAATTATTACCTTCTGATACTTTTCTAAAATTGAAATAGAAAGGTTTTATATGTAAACCTTTAAAATTCCAACAAAAATAGTTGCAATGTTTTAGGTATGTCTCTGATATCTATTAAATTTGGAATGACATTATCAGCAGTTTTTGTTAGTTTTCTTCCCTCAAATATGATTACTTGTAAAATAGAGACATTATTTCATGTAGTAATCAGCAGAGTAATAAAAAGCACAGTTTTGACTTAACATGTGACCAAATTGGAGGAAAAAAATGGGCAGATTTTCAGAATGAGACTGAAATTGCACCTTAAAGAATTATAAACTTTCAACCTTTCTATCAGCATTAAAATTCTGAAAATACCTTAAAAGTAAGATTTTTCCGATATAAATCATTGTTAGGCAATTTAAAGTGTTCTTAGCCATTGCCCTGCAGTGAATAATTACATCTTGACATCTGGCTGTGATTGCATGGTTTGGTGTTACTTTTTTAGCAATTATTGGTAACTTTGGTTGCAATGGACAAGCAGAAGATTCTTCCTGAGAGCTTTTTATCAGATCACTCCAGAGGTCACTCCAAGATTGTCCTGTCAAGTTAAAGATGCTTGTAGTCTATCATGGTATCTCCCACAACACCCCGCAGGATTATCACCATGATTTGGCCCTGACAATTAAGTTCAAGATCCTTAGGTTTGCACTGAAAAAAAAGATTGTACTGTTCTAGTAAAAGCTGGCTACTTTCTACTGTAGAACTTTCACCATCTAATTATAAAACTGTTTCAGATTTGGGATTTTTACATAATTACTTAAATGAACTAGGTTCCATCTCTCTGGTCACTACCATGTCTAGTGCACAATTGAAATTCTTTCACATAGTTTATTCATTTGTCTGAAAACAGTAAGTAATCAATTTAATGAGAAGGAAAAATGTTGTAAAAGTCATTGCTTTTCTAATATAACCCTTATGTTTCTGAAAGATTCACTGCTCTATGATTTTTTTAAATAATTTTTTTCACTATAATAGAAAACATATAAAAGGGATATCTGTGTGGAATATTTATATTATGCCTAAATTATTACTTTTAATGGCTGAAAAAAAGGAATATCAAAGGAAGAAGGAATTATTTTGGTAGCCTTACTGAGATACGCTTATTAAAATATATTACTTTCCCCACAATAAAATTAATTTTCTGATATAATAAATAAATTCAACTTATTTTTGTAATTCATACAAATTAACAAGGTTGAACATAGTAATTTAGTAATTTAATTAAGAAAATGGTGATTCCTTCCCAGATTTATTATTCTTTGAGGAAATTTCACCATATTGACCCGCAGAGAAAGTCAGTATCACTTAAAGCTTTTCCTCGTAAAAATATTTGCAGTTCCTGAACTCTAACTTTAATATACACTAAAATTTTGTGCTGGCACCATATTTATTTGAAAAATTAACTACGGACTTAGTGAATGAGTTTTTCACATTTTGCATCTTTCAGATTGTATGGTAATCAAGTGTTACTGCTGTGTATTAAGAGACATCTGATATTTTAGAGCTTCTGTATGATCCTTATCCTTGTTAAATATTAATATTTACACTTATTTATTTACACATTTTTCAAATTTACAAGAAACATTTATATATATTTAAGGTGTAAAATATGTTATAATATATGAATACATTGTGGATGGTTAAATCAAGCTCCTTGACATAGAATTATCTCATGTATTTATGATTTTTTGTGTGAGAAAAATTTTATATGAAAATTATTTTCTTAGTCATTTTTAAGTTTGAAATACATCATTTTTACCAACAGTAACCATGATATATAATAGATCAATTCAACTAATTTACCCTGCCTAAATAAAATTTTATCTCCTTTGACCAGCATCTTTCAAATTCCCCAACCTCCAGCATCTGGTAACCACAATTTTACTCTATGATTTTATGGGTTTGACTATTTAAAAGTCTATATATAACCAAAATCATTCAGTATTTGTCTTTCTGTGCCTAGCTTATTTCATTTAAGGTAATATTCTACAGTTTCATCCATGGTATCATAAATGACAGGTTCCATTTCTTTTTTGAGGGTGAATAGAATTCCATTTTATTTACATAAATGTCATATTTTCTTTCTTCATTCATCCGATGATGGTCATGTAGGTTGATTCCATATCGTGGCTATTGTGCATAAAGCTGCACTAAACATGGAAGTATAAATATCTTCTCAACATACTAATTATTGATTTGTTTTGGATATTCAGGCATTCCTCATTTAATTACGCTTTGCTTCATTGCACTTTGCAGATACTGTGTTTTTTACGAAGCGATGTGGCAATGCTGCATCAAGCTAGTCTGTTGGCAACATTTTTCCAACAGCATGTCCTCAATTAGTGTTTCTGTATCACATTTGCTAATTCTAGCAATATTTCAGACTTTCTCATTATTACGATATCTGTTTGGTGATCTGTGATCAGTGCCTTTTGATATTATTATTGTAATTATTTTGGGGGCACCATGAACCATAATATAAATTGATAAATGTTGGGCATGTTCTGACTGCTGCACTGACTGGGCCTTCCCCACACATCTTCCTCTGTTGGGCCTCCTGTTCCCTAATATATGACAATATTAAAATTAGGCAAATGAATAACCCTGCAATGACTTCCAAATGTTTAAGAGAAAGGAAGAGTTGCATGTTTTTCACTTTGAATCCACAGCTAGGAATGATTAAGGTTAGTGAAAAGACAGGTCAAAATATGAGATAGGCTGAAAGTGAGGCCTCTTGTACCAGTTAGCCAACTTGTAAATGCAAAGCAAAAGTTCCTGAAGGAAGTTAAAAGTGCTACTCCAGTGAACACGTAAGTAATAAGAAAGCTTAACCTTCTTGATGATATGAAGAAAGTTTCAGTGGTCTGGATAGAACATTAAACCAGTCAAAAATATTCCCATAAGCCAAAGCCTAATTTGAGGCATAGTGCTAACTTTTAAAATTTTATTAATACGAAGGCTGAAAGAGATGAAAAAGCTGAGAAGAAAATGTTGAGGCTAACAGAGATTGCCTCATGAGGTTTAAGAAGGAAAACATTTCCACTACATAAAAGTTGAAGATGAGGTAGCAAGTGCTTAAAAAGAAGCTGCATAAAGTAATACAGAAGATCTAGATAAGATAATTGAAGAAAGTGAATATACTAAACAGTATTTTCAATGTAGACAGCCTTATACTGGAAGAAGATGCCATGTAGGAAGGATTTTTCACAGCTAGAGAGGAAAAGTAAATGCCTGGCTTCAAAGGACAGATCGACTCTCTTGTTAGGGACTAATGTAGTTGATACCAATGCTCATAGACCATTTCAAAATCTCTAAACCTTTTAAGAATGATTAAATCTACTCTGCCTATGCTCTAGAAATGACACAACAAAACTTGGATGGCAGTACTTTGTTTATATCTTAGATTACTGAATACTCTACTGTTCAGAAGATTCCTTTCAAAGTATTACTGCTTATTGACAATGCACTTGGTCATCAAAAAGCTCTGGTAGAAATGTACAATAAATTTAATATTGCTCTCATACCTGCTGACACAGCAACCATGCTGCATTTCATGGATCAAGAAGTAATTTTAAATTTTAAGTCTCATTATTATTGTATTTCATAAGGCTATATCTCCATAGATAATGTTTCCTCTCATAGATATGAGCAATGTAAATTGAAAACCTTCTGGAAAAGATTCACTGTTCTAGATGCCATTAAGATTATTTGTGATTCATGGGAGTAGGTCAAAATAGCAACATTAACTGGAATATGGAAGAAGTTGCTTCCAGCCCTCACAGATCCTTTTGAAGGTTTCAAAACTACAATAGAAGAAGTAATTGCAGATGTGGTGAGAAATGCATAGCAGTGGTCAGAAGTGGGGCCTAAAGATGTGAATGAATTTCTCCAGTCTAATGAAAGTTTAAAGAATGAGAATTTGCTTGTTATGCATGAACAAAGAGAGTAGTGAGATGGAATCTATGTACGGTGAATATGCTGTTAAAATAAAAACAAATAATTTAGAATATTATACAAATGTAATCCATTAGAAGAAGAGTTTGAAAGGATTCATTTTGATTTTGAAAGAGATTTTATTGTGGGTATAATGTTATCAAACAGCATTGCATGCTACAGAAAAATCTTTCGTGAAAGGGAGTGCCAATTATTTGGCAGTAGTAGTTGTCTTATTTTAAGAAATTGCTACAGTCACCTCAAACTTCAGCAATCATCACACTGGTCATTCAGTAGCCACCAACAAGACATCCAGGTAAGACCCTATATCAGCAAGAAGGTTTCCACTCCTTAAAGGCTCAGATAATCATTAGCATTTTCTGGCAATAAAATATTTCTTAATTAAGTTATATGCATTATTTTTTAAATATAATACTACACATGTAATAGACTACAGAGTAAACATAACATTTGTATACACTGGGGAACAAAAAAAAAAAAGTGTGTGACGGACTTTATTGTAATATTTGCTTTATTGTGGTGTTCTGGAATGGAACCCCCAATATAGTCAAGATATGTCTATATTTACCCAGTAGTGGGATTGCTGGATCACATGGTCATTCTATTTTTAATTTTTGCAGAACTCTCATACAGTTTTCTGTAATAGCTGTATCCATTTCCACCAATCATGTGCAAGAGTTCTTTTTTCTCCACTGCTTGTCAATGCTTATTACTTTCATCTTTTTCACAATACCCATCTAACAAGTATAAGGTAGTACCTCATTGTGGGTTTAATTTTCATTTTCCTAATTAGCAATGTTGAGCATTTTTTCATGTACCACTTGTGTTTCTTCTTTTGAGAAATGCCTATTCAAATCCTTAGCATGTGTTGTTGTTTTTTTTTTTTTAATTTGAGTTGTTTTCTTACTATTGAGTTGTGTTCTCTGTATATTTTGGAGATTAACTCCTTATCAGATGTATGGGTTGCACATTATTTTCTTTCTTTGCTAGGTTATCTATTTGCTCTGTTTCCTTCTATGTGCAGAACATTTTTAATTTGTTTGTAATTCCATTTTCCCATTTTTGCTTTTATTGCCTTTGCTTCTGTGGTCATATTCCAAACATTTATACACAGACAAATACAATAGAGATTTCCTCTGTTTTCCTCAGGTACTTACATGGTTATGTAAGTGGCATTATATCTGTGGTATTTAAGCATAAAAAATAAACTTTTATTTGTAGTTGATGGGCTAACAGTTTTGAATATCTGCAGGCATGATACTTTTATTTGAGAGTCATAGTGAAGTAAAAAATTATATGCATGAGTCTGTGAAGTGCTTAGATTTCATTTCTGAATAGGTGTGTCATCAAAATTTGTCGATGTTAAGAACTACTCATAATTCTTATTACTTCACCTGAGAGGGCAGAAAAGCCAGGCTCACATATTTTCAAACATACATAATGCTATTTGCATAAATATAATCTTAATGCATCAAGCATTCTCTGGCATGAAAGTTTATAATTATGTTTTCTATGATATTCTAATACATAAAATATCATTCTAGACATAAATATGATAATCAGATGGGGTTTACAGTTATTTCCATACATTTCTTTAACAATTTGAAACTTTTTTTATAAGAGAGTTGTTTTGATACAAAAAATATTGAAGGAAATTATATACAAAAATAATTAAATAGAGGAAATGCACATCTTTAAATTATGAGAAAAGTATGTATCATTCAGTTTAAATATTTAGTATGATTAGTTAAAAAGTTATAGATTGGAGGTAAATTACAACATTTCAGAACTTTCTTAAATTTATGGAATAATCAGTGTATTGAGTTATTTTTAATGACTGTTTAAATTTTTAATTAATATTGTAACAATAAAGCAAGAAGGTTATGATGAGATTAAATTAATAATTGTATGTGAAAGGATCTAGCCTCATTCCTGATACAGAGTAGCTCCTTAATAGATCCTCCCATATTATTATCATTCCTCATAGAAACTCAAAGCATAAAGCAAAAGGAAATACATTATCTTTGGTAGTTTTTATATTTGCATGGTTTGTTAAAACATTTACTATTTCTGTAATAAAATATCCTTATATTATTAAGATTATAGAAGTGCATATCAATATAAATTTGACTGAAAGTGATTGTTTTCATTAGTGCTAAAGAATACATACTAATGAACAGATCACAAGCAGCAAAGTAACCAAGAAAGAATGATTTTTTTTTTTAAAAAAAGATTTGTTGCAATAGTAGTTTTTGGTTAAAAAAATTTCATTCTGCAGCATAATCTCTAATACCACTTAATTGAAATGAGTATACTTTTTTTTTTTTTTTTTTGAGACAGAACCTCAAGCTGTTATCCTGGGTAGAGTGCTGTGGCATCACAGCTCACAGCAACCTCCAACTCCTGGGCTTAAGCGATTCTCCTACCTCTCCCTCCCAAG